GATTATCTGGTGACAGCTGTCATGTCAGTGTGCACTTGGAAAAAAATCAAAATTGGTGAATTTTTGTATAGCCATTTTAATATTGAAGATGAAATATTGAAAATATTGAAGAAGAATATTGAAAATACCCAACATTTTGACATATTATGCTTTATTATTTCAAGAAAGGTAAAAATTCAACTGAAACACAAAAGATTTGTGCAGTGTATGGAGAAGGAACTGTGACTGATTGACATGTCAAAAGTGGTTTGCAAAGTTTCATGCTGGAGATTTCTTGCTGGATGATGTTTTATGGTTGGGTAGAAGTTGAAGTTGATAGCAACCAAATTGAGACATTAATTGAGTACAATCAATATTATACTGCACGGGAGATATAGACATGCTCAAAAATATGCAAATCAATAAAGTTGTGGTGAAAAATGAAAAAATGTGTCTTTTATTTTATAGAAAAAAACTGAATGGACTTTCTGGCCAACCCAGTGTTTTGGGGGACAAAGACAAAATCTGAAATGAATTGTAACAATACCAAAGTTTTACACTCTTTTCTACTTATTTTAAAAATCTATTTGTTGTTTGTGTGCATATGTGTGAATGTGTGTATTAAAGATTTAATATTAATGCATAGATTTTTACTACACACCACTGAGATATGAATAAAATAAATAAAACCTATCTAAAAATATTCTTCTTCCTGTTCAAACAACAATGTCACTTACAACCACTACTGCACAGCCATAAACACAGTCACACTAATCCTGGGAGACAGGTGTGTGATGAGAATGAGAATGTATCTGGGATGGCCAGAAGTTCACTATTATAACCTCTGTGTACTTTGTTCTAAGGAATAATTTTTTCCCACTAGCTCATGAAACCTTCAAAGTCAAGAACTGTGTATTGTACACTTAATATCAGATAAAATGCCTGGACCCTCACATGTTCTCAATAACCACTTTTTGAAAATGTATTTTCCTTTTCCCTCTAAAACCTCAATTTGATTTCATATTGCATTAAGAATAGAATCTGTATTAGTCATTTATTGGTGTTATATCAAATTAACACAAAGATAGAGGCTTAAAATAACACAAATTTATAAACCTCCTGTTCTAAATGTCAGAAATCCTTTCAACCAAGGTATTAGTAGGGCTTCCTTCATTCCTGAAGGCTCTCAGGAATAATCTGTTTTCTTTTCTCTTCCAGTTCCTGGGGGCACCCACAATCCTTGGCTCTGGCCTTTTTCCTCCATCTTCAACCCAGAAACTCCCTGATTCTTCTTCTAGTCATGTTGTCTGGAAAGATTCTCTTCTTTTAAGGACTCATGTGATTAGACAGGCCTACCTGTATAGTGCAGCACATCTCCATGTAATGTAACATGTTCAAAGATCATGTGATTATGTGTAAGATTACAGTTTGGACATTTTTGGGAGACTACTACACAGCTTCCAAATTACAACAAAAAACACAGTGTCATTAAGTTCTTAGACTTAACCCAGAATATTCTACTATGCTTTACTTCAGTCTTAAAATTTGTAGCAAAGGATCAGAACAACAAAGAGTTTGGAGTTCTGTCAATCAAAGGGATGTTTAAAAGAATAGGCTGTTTATCTTAAAGGAAAAGAATACCTATATTTAGGGGTGGAATGGGTGTTGCACTTTGAGGAGACACAAGATAATTACATCTTCAAAATAACACAGTACTGTCTTATGTGCAATCAGAGGACAGAATAGGATTAATTAACTTTAGGGAAGCAGCTTTTGGAGAAATTGAGGCAGAGTTGTGTGAGCATTATTGATGTTCTTAAATCCAACAGGCAAGAAATGGCATGGATGATGATACAGTCCTTTATATTTTTTTATTTTTAAAAATATTTTATTGTTTATGCTACCTCAACACTAGAGTTGTCCCAATTTTCTACCTTTGCCCCCTTCTACCCAGTCCTCCTCTGCTTCCATAGTCAATTCCCAGACTGTTGTCCACATCCATGGGTCCTACATATATGTTCTTTGACTAATCTCTTGACTTTCTTTCAATCAGTCCCCACTTCTTTCCTCCCCTCTTACAGCTGTCAGTCTATTCCATGATTCCATGCCTCTGATTCTATTTTGTTCATTAGTTTATTTTGTTCATTATATTCCTCTCCTAAGTGGGATCCTATGGTTTTTGTCTTTCACTGACTGTCTTCTTTCCCTTAGCATAATCATCTCCAGTTCCATCGGTGCTGCTTGAAAAGGTTGGAATTCCTTCTTTCTTTCTGATGGGTAATTGTGTAGTAGTACCACATTTTCTTGTTTTAGTTTTTGTTATTTTTATCCACTCACCTACTTACTGTTGGAAACTTTGAATGTTTCTAAATCTTGGCTATTGTAAATAGCTCAGTTATGAACATGGGGGTGCATAAATTCTTTTGAATTGGTGTTTCAGGATTCTTCTGGTATATTCCCAGCAGTGGAATCACTGGGTCAAAAGGCAGTTTCATTTTTAGTTTTTTGAAGAAATCAATACTGTTTTCCACAGTGGCTGCACCAGTCTGCGTTCTCTCCAACAGTGTACTAGGGTTCCCTTTTCTCCACGTCTTCACTGGCACTTGTTGTCTGTTGATTTATTAATGATAGTCATTTTAGAAGATGTGAAGTGATTTCTCAATGTGGTTTTAATTTGCATCTCTCTGATGGTTAGTGATGTTGAGCATTTTTTATATGTCTATGGCCCATCTGTATATCCTCCTGAGAGAAGTGTCTATTCAAACCCTTTGACTATTTTTTAACTGGATTGTTTATTTTTTGGTGTTGAGTCATATGAGCTCTTTATTATATTTTGGTGATTAAACCCTTACTTTATGTATCTCTGACTATAGGAGACCTTTCTGTGTGGTATGGGCCAAGCTCCCACTCAGAAATGCCAGTGGAAAGTGAAGTCTGGTACACAGGACCCATGCCCATGGATAGGTTCTCCCATGGAGAATCAGGCTTGCATTGTACCTAAGCTGCTTTGAGACTTATTTTTTGCTAAAACCCCCTCACCCTGAATTGAGGCAGCAAATGTTTACTGGGTATCTTTAAAGTAACTTCCTAAAATCTATGCTAAACCTTCCAAGGACGAGTGTAACCAGTTCAACCACTTTTCCCTTTACATTGCAAATATCCTTCTTTTTTGATGTAATTAGCAACATCCTCTCCTTTGTTTTCTGTAAAAGGTAACCACTTAAAGCGAACCCATGCATAGTAAATGAGGACCATCCTTGTAATGTGCCGAGAAAAGCAATAAAAGCTTGTCAAGGCAAGGGCCGGCATGCTCTCCCCTTGAGAGAGTGGCCATGCTATTCCTTTTCCTTCACAGGACTCAGTAGTCCATGTGAATTTGTCTCATCTCAGCCACAATGCTGTGGACACTGCTTGCTGGTGTCTGCATGATCTGACAAATATGTTCTCTCATACAATTGGTACCATTTTCATTCTGATGGTGGTTTCTTTAGCTGTGCAGAAGTTTTTTAATTTGATATAGTCCCATTTGTTTATTTTTTCCTTTTTTCCTCTTGGCCTGGGAGATATATTGGCAAAAATATTGCTATACATGATATCTTAAATTTTATGGCTTATGTTTTCCTTTAGGATTATTATGATATCATGACTTTTATTTAAGTTTTTTATCCATTTTGAGTTTATTCTGGTGGATGGTGTAAGATGGTGGCCTAGTTTCTTTTTTCTTTTTTTTTTTTTTTTGCATGTACCAGTCCAGTTTTCCCCACAGCATACAGTGGAACAAAATCAGACATGGGGAGTCTTTTAACGGAGATTTGAACATTAGATGAGGGATTGGGGGAGATGAGCTCTCAAATTCCATTTAACCTTCAGAGTCACTGTGACTTAGAATCCTATGACTTAGAATTCTATTCATGACCTTTGAGTACCTCCAACTGCATGCAGCTGGAGCCAGCCAAGTCCCCACATTTTTACTGAGGAGTCATCTTTTTGTCCTTACCAAATATACATCTAAAAATGCCAAATTAAGAAGTGGTGAAGGAAGTGGTAAAGTTTAGATGCATCTTAGAAAAGGCAGTGACTTGTTACTACTTGGAAAATAAAACCAATATGCGTAGGGAGAGTACAAGTTTTAAAATATGCAAATACTTAAACATATTCTCTGGCATATTCAGACATAAAGGCTAACAAACCATAGAGCCAAAGTATGAAGAAAGATTAGATTCATTGCTATTAGGTGGCTTTATGAATATCAAGTAAAATTCATATTTTGAGGACACTGGAAACTTGAAGAAAACAAAAGAAAAAGGAGAGAAGATGTTTTCCTCTTAATCTAGAAAACAACATGTTTTTGAGATTTTTTTATCAGCTCCTTTTGAGATGATGATTTGAAATAATTTTTACTAAATCTGGGAGCTGCTGTAGACAGTGCTGTTTATTTGTCAACAATGTGTGTTACATGAAAGTACATTTTAATAGTTTAAATAGTTCATGTTACCATATTCTTGGATCTGTTAATATGTATTTGAAGGTCTAGCTTATAAACCTGAATTGTACTCAGTTTTATGTTAGACTATTTGACTCACAAATTATTTCTATCCCCAAAACATCCAAAAGGAATAATTACAACTTCAACTGTGTTCAAGAGAAGTCTTTGTGATTCTTTATACCTGCAATTTATATATCTTCAAAGAGAGTCTTAAGTGTCTTCAGGAGTTTAATGGTCACTCGAGGCTAAGAGGAGCTTGTTCAGACACTTAGGACTGGGCCAATATTGTCAATGACTTTATACCATCTTCTTTCCACTTCTATGGATTACCCAAAAGCAATAATGATTATTTCAGCCAGCTCTTGATACTCCTCTCTATATTCAGGGGAAGGTCAGCTATTTTTTGATTCCCATGGGAGAAAGAAAGCTCCTCAATCAGTTTCCTAAAATAGCTGGCCATTCTCAGCTGCTGGGCTGGAGTCCCTCCAGAGGTGAGCAAAGGGAATATAATCTAACGGCTGGTTGTGAGTAAGCAGTCACCAACACATGAGCTAGGAGAGGGTTCTCAGGACAATTCTGCCTACTCAAAATTCTTTATTCTTTTCTTGTTGAGAAGCTGGGTGTCTGCCACTTAAAATTTTTAATTTTATTTAAAGGCGAACCAGTGAATTGAAAATGAGACTAAATGTTGCTATCTTCTTTGGGGCTCTATTTGGTGCTTTAGGAGTTTTACTCTTTTTGGTGGCTTTTGGATCAGACTATTGGCTTCTTGTGACTGAAGTGGGGAAATGTTCAGGTGAACAGAATGTGCGTTTCTTTTTCAAACTATTAATGTATTTGGTAGTGGTGAGAGTAGCCTTATGTATCCTCTTAAAATCAGAGAATAGCAGTGGAATGTCTATTTCTTTATAAAAGAGATATGTACAAAAGTTACTGATCATTATTATTAGGAAAAATACCTTGTTTTAAAATTTTTCTGGGCATAATAGTTTAGATTACATTCCTTGTGTTGACAAGTTACTTCATTTGTGTTCTGTGCAGATAGAGAACATTACTTTTCACCATGAAGGATTCTTCTGGAGATGTTGGTTTAATGGTATTGTGGAAGGAAGTAATTCAAATATCTGGAAGTTCTGGTACAGTAAGTGTATTTTTACTTTATTTTCTCTTTTGTCTTTATGATAAAAATGAGCAGTTTCTTATTAAGTACATATCATTTACAAAATAGCATTGATTCTTAGTTGTAGACTCTCAAGAGGGTGTCTTCAAAAGGTTCATGAAGTGATTGCTGTTCAGTAACTATAAATGGCTATATAAATAATTATTTTATTGTAGCATATAAATAAGAATTTGGATATTTATGGTAAAACTGAATTATTCACTGTTTCCTTGTTCACTAACCCTAACAAATAAAGTTATTATTTATAGTATTTTTTCGAGTGTCTATTATTGTTATATTGCAAATAATATTTTTATTTTTTTATTCCATGAATATGAAATAATACATCCTATTTTAAAAATAGTTAAAATCCTATTTTTTTAATAATGAAATTTAAGTACCAGCTTTGGCAGATGAAAGCTTGCTCTATTTGGCCTTCAATCAAGTTTGTGGGCAATAACAAGAAATGCCTTGCTTTTGATGTTTGCATTCTCTCATAGAAAATTTAAGTTCTTTTTTGAAGTTGAACAGCTTCTTAAAAATATGATGCATTCTTTCAACTGTATTCCTTATATTGTATTAATCTTTGAAAATCAATTTATTGAAAATAGCTAGCCTTTATCTTATTATACCCAAGAAGAAAAGAACTGTTTATTACCCTAAAGCTTATTGTGGGCTAAAATTATTAGTCTGCTTATGAAATACTCCTGTGATAAACCAAAGTATGTTATTTACACAGCAGTTGAGTTCATGGAATATAAATAAAAATAAGAGATCATAGAAGACTTAAGAAAGCTCATGACAAGTTTGCATATGTGAAAGAAACAAAGTAATGATGAAATGTCATTTTGAGAGGGATATTTGATAGAATATATTACTGTCATTTAAGGGAGGAAAATAAATATGCAACATGTCAAAAATTATTTAGACTTTGGTAAAATGGAGTAAATCAGAACATGCAAGAGGAAGATGTTTTTGAAAAACTTTGAGAAAGGAAGACTATTTCACTCCCTTTTAAAATGTACACAATGAAATCTTCAAGTTTTAAACAACAGAAAAGTTCTTTCTTGTGGTTTCTTCAAATGCTAAATGTATATTTGAATTATTTAATTGTTAAATCTATTATTTCTATCTTTACCCTAGAAATAGGTTATAGAAGAAATTTTATATTTATTGGAACTGATCAAGGGTAAATCTAAGTTTTATTAGATTTTCAAAACAATTATTTTTTGAAAAATTACTATATACTAGGCATTATGTTAGAAACTAAAGAATATGGTTGTAAAATAAATGAAATGTGGTGCATTCAACTTTAAGGTGATATTAAAAAGGCATTCTCTGAGTTGAATTATGTCATGAGTAAGACCTTTGGGATACATTCTCTTTCCAGATTCCTATGCCTCTTGATATGAGATTTTCAGAAAGTCTTTCCCCTTCACTTAATAATTTTTGAATTTGTTGATCTATCCCACAGTTTTATTTAGCCTGTGTGTCCCAGACTCCCTATTTCTTTTCTATTAGGAACTAGTCTTCACTCAGGTGCTTGATAACAAATATCATTGTTTTGGTCTCCTCCCTAGCCAATCAGCCACCATCCAAGAACTGCACACATGCTTACCTGTCTCCATATCCTTTTATGAGAGGCGAGCACAATTCTACCTCCTATGACTCTGCAGTTAGTAAGTACCTCTGTCCACAATATGTCTCTGAGAAAAACACGTCTTTCTGAAAGATGCTCCCCAGAAAATTTTTATGGGCTATTAAAAATAATTTAACATCTAAAAATAATTTAATATGTATAATCTCAATGTTTTCTTTTATGTCAATCTGTTATGTACAAAATAATAGAATATCATTTTTAACATACTATAATTCTAACAGAATATAACTTCGGTCTAAAAGTTAAGCTATTATAATTTACTTGCCACTTACAAAGATAAATTTTTAAAAGTGTATTTCCTGATATGAAAGTAATGACATTCATTAGTAAGAACTGCTTCCTAAAGCTGTAAGTGACCTACAACTAGTCTTGCAATAGAAAATATTATAGTATATACCCTGCCTTTAGAACATTTTTTGCAATTGTTACACATAAGAACCTGACTTTGTTACTATATTTCTACAAAATTACCGAACTTTTATGCATGATAAGCCACAGAAAGAGAATAGTTAGATGTCATTAACTGGGCATCATGATTATGTAACTTTTTTTTGTCATTTTCACACTATTTGCTCTCTAGAAAGTGCATAAACATAGTTTATATGGAAACTACATAATACGTAGTATATAAATCCTATTTTATATAAAGTACATAAGCTCAATATGTCAACTTTATTCTTAGCTAGTTTCATGAACTTTTAAATAAAGAGTGTTTATCTTAATCTTAAAAGTAAAGTTTGGTAGAACATTTCAAAGAGAGCTTGTGGAACACAAACCAGGGGCTCCTAACACTGTGAGCAAATATTGAAGTTTTCCACAGGATGTAATTGTCACTCAATAGTGCTATATTTTTTCTGGAAAGATAAAAGACTTAACTACTCATATCCATGATTGGTGATGTTGGAAAGTAAATTAATGTCTCCCAAGTTAGAAAAAAACAACAACAAAAAGCTAAGAGTTGGTATAAAATTCTCCAATGGCATGAACAAAAACAAAAAATGTTTGTTTTTCAAAGGGAATACATAATATATTTTATGTTCTGAATAAGCATATATTAGTCAGGATTCTCCATAAAATCAATAGGGGATACACATATAAAAAACAGATAATTGAGAAAGAGACTTTAAGGAATTGGATTGTGTGATTGTGGAGGGTAGCAAGTCTACAAGGTTGAAGATGCAGATGAGTCGGTATTGCTGTCTTGAAACGGAGGCCTGGAAAGTAGTAAATTTCAATGTTTCAATCTTGAAGAGAATTCCTTCTTATTCAGAAAACCTCAATCTTTGTTCTTGAAGACTTCAAATGATTAAATTGTGCCCATATTAATTATAAAGGATAGTCCACTCTACTTGTAGTACACTGATTATAAATGGTAATCACATCTATCCACTGCCTTAAGAGCAACATCTAATGAAGTGTTTGACCAAACACTTAAGCATCATAGTGAACCAAATTGACACATAAAATTAACCATCACAGAACTTCCATTGTTTGTTTTTTTATCTTTCTATAAAATCATGTATTTCCATACACTACAATTTTGTTTTAAGTTTGTCAAAGATTGCAGAATTTGCTTATATCACATCATTAACATGACATTATATGAAAGGGAGTGAGGTCTGCAGAGGAAGTGAACTGAGCTGATCCTCCACTGTGCTTGCCCCTCAGGGTTGCTTGTCACAACACAGGCAAAAAGATTGTGACTATTGGTCTTCCAAATGTGTGTGGTGTGACACTCTTTCCCATTAAAAACTATATGAGGAAACTCATGCACATTTGTCAAAACTCCTTGCATCATGTATATGTTGACCTTTGCATTGCTAAGAGGAGAGATGGTACAGGAAAGAGTATAAGCTATTTTATATTACAAAAAGTCACAAAAAATATTTCTTCCCTGACATTCTTACTTTTATAAAATAATCTAAGAAATGGTATAGGGTTGACTTTCCAGAACATTATGTATCTACATGAATATTAGTATTGTTTTTGTTGATACTCATGTGTTGAGGCCTTTTGATAAGTATTGCAGGTACCATCTGTTTTAAAGTAAATCTGTGTATTTGAAAAATCTGTACCTCTAGGCAATAGTGGAGAACTTAAAAACAAGGTAATATAATCTATGCATAATAATTATGGTGGAGATGGATAGTAAATGTGTATCAAAATAATTATACTGCAAGTACAATTAGAATTGTCATGTAGCACAGCATATAATTACTGTGCCATTTTTTGGATCTAGAGACAAAACCATATTCCAATTTTTTAAAAAAAGGTAATCAAACTCTTCTTTGACTCATTCACATTAAAGCAACTTTATCAAATGCTTTAAGATGACTGACAGGGGAAGAGGTATGTCCTACAACACAAACAGTATATACGCATTCCATTTATCTTAATATTATACAATGATATCTGACATTGTATTTGGATGACTTTTAATTATTTCCTTTATTCAAGACAAGGACACAGATTTTATCAGAAGGGTTATACCTGACTGAAAGTATGTGTTTCCTAGCCAATGAGGCTTCACTAGACTCCAGAGCTTCTCTGTCAGGCATATATAGTTGTCAATTTATTCTGGGTAAATTCAAAGTATTGTTTGTACAATTTAATGTATCCTGGCCTGGCAAATTATTGGTAAAATGGCTTTGTATTCTCCCGAGTTTTTACAATTTCAGTTACCCAATATTGAAATCGGTGAACATAATAAATGGTTTATTATTTTCTGGAAAGACCATTTTAGAACCGTCAGATACTACTGGTGAAATTATTCCATTTCATAATATGAAAACTAAGAATGAGACTCAGAGAAAAGAAGTGATTTTGTCTTTACACAGCTGATCATTGCCAGAATTTATGCAAAGTTTCAAGTCTCTGGATTTTGTTTATTGATAAATTATGTGAATAATTTACATTAATAGTTTAGTCTTCTAAATTACAGTGAATAAAATTTTTAATTTTAGTGCTTAACATTAAAAATTTTAAGTGTAAATCTTTCAGTTGAATTTCAGTGGAAGAATGAATTAAATGTATGGTTTTTTTCTCTACCTTTCTATCTGATCCTAACTTTTGTATATAATCAGGTCTAATGTAGTGTTTCCTTTACTTTTTATCTCAAATACATTATCTGCAATTCAGTTGTGCTCAAATCTAGAAATTTGAATGATCGTCCAAGCCTATAGGGGATAATTTAAGTATTGTTTTTTGAGGTACTTTGTGTATTTTGAAGTCATTAAATTCTATTACATTTTGATATCTGTCAGAAGTTAGATTTTCTGGTTTGTCTCATGACTAAACTCATTACATTTATTTAGTATCATTTGATAAGTATTTGCTGAACATAGATTAATTTTCAAGATAATTCAACCCCTGAGTAAACTGATCATTTCTTTTTGATGTCCTCCTAGCCTTTGACCACACCTGTATGAAAGTACTGCTTATACTTAACTGTAATTCTATGTTTATCTAAGTTTTTTTTTATGATTTATTGCAACCCCCCTAAAGGCACAGAATGTAACCTACTCAACATCTGTATTCCCAGAACTTAACATAGCACCTGGTACTTAGCAGATGCTTAAATATTTGACAAAATAACAATGCAAAAATCACAGATAACATTTTCAGCAGTTAACTATTTTAATTTTATTTTTTGAAGTAGAACAGTTTGTTTTGGAACTAATTTCATACTTGTCTTTTCTCTTGAACAGAAGGTATTGAACATAATTGCATCTTTTCTTGATGAGTTAGAACAAACACATACACAACAGGGTAGCCACCATGACCTTCTTTGAATTCCTCAGAAATAGTATTTGCCTTCTTGTCCCAAGGCCTTCATATATTCCATCCCAGCTCCCTGTATACCATTTATCTCTTCCATACTCCTCCTCCCTTCATTTCTTTCACAAGACAGCTTTATCCTCAGTTTTCCAAGGATGTCTTCCTTGCCAGTAGTCCCTTATCACACTAATACTTGTACTAGACCAGGTTCTCTTTTATATAACTCATGGTTTAATTTGATAAATCATAGCCCAAATTTTAATTATTTATTGTGTAATTATTTTGTTCATAAATTTTTTTCCTAGTTCAACTCTAAGCTCCTATAGTGATGATGTCTTTTATGTTTGGCTCAACATTATAACTCTTTTAGGCTGAATATTTTTTGTAGAATGAAAATTTCTTAGAAGTTTTCATTATTATACTGCACTGTGGTACTAATAGTAATGCCTTAAGAAACTGCTGATGTATTCAGGAATTTTTTAAGACTTTACTAAATAGACCTAGATTACTCTTTATTTTTTTTGTTCATACATTTTGTAGTTTTTAGGTCTTCAAAATTGTTTTTAGATGTCAGCTGTCCTTTGCTTTTATCATCAGGGTTTATTTATTTACTATTCTTTTCTGATATGTTTTCCTTCACCATTATACAGTAAATGTAGGGTCAAGTGTATGATGTAAGACTAGAATCAGAAAGGCCACTAGGCAAGATATTTGTCAGCAACACATTAAGCTGTAAGTAACAGAAAATAGACAGAAGGTACAGTGTAAGACTATTTTTCTCCCATAGTAAGACGTTCAGAGGCAGCTGCCATAATGATACTCCCAGGGACCCAGACCCTTTCAACCTTTTCTCCCATAATCTTTGACAGATGGACAGTTGCTATAGTGTTCTTCTATCTTCAGAAGAGCAGAACTGTCCCTGGAATCCTTTAGCAGATTTCTTCCAATGCTTTCTTTACCAGAAGGGTGCCACATGATATCTTGCTAAGCTTGGGCATGGAGTTGTTCGCTTTCTAGCCACCAGCATAGGACAGGAGAAGGGAGGAGGTCTGAGTGTATTAACCTAAAGGATCCTCCTCAGAGGACCCTATTAGGTCTTGAATGCAGGTGGAACAGGAAAGGTAAACATAAAATAATTAATATAAATAATAGTTAATGTTTAAAACTTAATAGCCAAAAAATAGACAGCTGGGGAAATCTTGGGTGGTGAAGAAATTTCCTTTTGAAGAATGTATAATTCAGTTTAAACAATATAAATAAAAGGTGATATGGTCACTTTCCAAACAACAAATATTATTTTAGTGTATTTCTTTCCAGTCATTTTATATGCATTTGTACATAGTTTTAATCATTGGGAATACAAATGTATATCTCACTTGTATATTTTGAACATAACACACATTTCTCCATGTTTTTACCTAACAGTTTCTTAAATTTTAAATATGTTAGATGCTACCTCAACACTAAAAATAATTATATGCTTGTAACATTTTTCATAATTTTTATTAGTTCTTTGGATTATACATTTCCAGAAGTGTGAATGGTGAATGAAAAGATAGGAATGGATTTTTGTTATTGTATTATCATGACATAGTACCAACATGTTTGCCAAATGGTACATGAATGACTTCAACTAAGCACATTTGGCAAGAAATACAGATCATGAGAATCAAGAGGAAGGGCTTGTTTTGAATTGGAGGATGAGGATTTATTTTGGATTTAGATGTATTAAATTTGGGTTGATGGTGGAACAGCAGTAAATAATTTAGGGAGTAGCTTGATGTGCAAAACTGAATTTCCTGAAAGATATTAATTAGCACAGAAGATACTAATGAGGAATTTCAGAGGTAGTTTTTGATATGAGATACAGTCTTTAAGAAAATAAAGAAAAAAGAAAATAATAGGAAAAAGGTAGTAAAATACCCACAGTACTTAGCAGGAGAAGGAAAGAAATTAGGACAGCTCATAAAATAGAAAGAGAATGAAGCATTGAGAAGCAAGCTGATGAGCAGGCTCATGTGCTGTCAAAGGGGCTGATGGAGGGGAGAGTCTTGGGAAGGAGATGTTGGTCCTCAGTGTCTGATGCAGAGT